AAACCTTTTAGCTAAGTACAGCATAATGGCAGTACAACTTCTACACCTTGAAGCCTTGTCTGTTACACAGTCTTACGTTAGCTGAACAGATCAATATGCAATTTGTACCGTATCTGACATATATTAAAGATTTTATTTGACCTGAAAAGGCTTTTTACTAAACTGTAATCGTGTTAGCCACACTAGCACCGAGTAGCGAGTAACAGGCCTAGGCACACTCAAACATTTGCCAACAACAGAAATCACTGATTTCAAAAGTAACTGTCAAAACCATGAATGCCGACTTACCCAGCCTTGCAAGAACAATAGGCATCAGTGATCTTGCCTACAGCGATATTTATGCTGAGGGTGTGAGGATCTGCTGTTTTCCTCATCGACCGGTAGCATTTAGCTGCGACGCGCTCAATGTTGGAGGCATCGCGTGGCTCAAACACCTTGATGTCGTCCAAAAAAATGACATGAACTTGTTGGTTCCCCTGTCCATTGTCGTGGCTGATATTTTTTGAAAATCCGGCAGAAATGCTACGCTAATCGACTCAGAAATACTTTGTAGAGAGTCAGTTGAAACGAAAGACGCCATGTTTACACATAGAAACTAAGCTCCGCGAGGCTTTGTTTGTGAGACATGCAGCCACGTGGGACTGTCGAGGGGCGTTTCTGGGCGGGGCTTGGTAAGGTCCATTGGTTCTAGTATCTCTTCAAAACAGACTTTTACTGCAGGAATGCTATAAGGCAAAAATGGAATCAGTTTTTAAACTGTAATGTTTTAAAACCATGTTAATGCTAGTGATATCTGGTCCATGCTTATATTTGAGTCTAGATTAATTGAGTATACAAAGACTTCATGGTTGATTCAGTGGCTGAAAGGTGTTCAGTTCCTGTGACTGTAAACCCCCCACACAACATTATTAATATGCATTACAACACATTTTTATTCTGTCACATGACAAACCTTCTGTTTTTACCTTGAAAAACTCCATGTGACAGCGTCACTGTCACTGAATAATTACAATAAATGAGATTTTTAGTTTAAATGCATCCAGAATAAAAAAAGGAAGAAGTATCCCAGATCACGGCAGTGGAAGCCAAAAAAAGAACCACACAGGTTTTAAAAAATGCTACTGCTGTTTAATGTTTTGATTTTTTTTTTCTGCTGAGGTTTCATTTGCCTCTGCATCTCATTGCTGTCACAGCCGCTTCCCAGAAAAGACTGACATCCTCCTTCGTTAGACATTCAGCAGCCACAAAGTAACCTGAGCCCGTAGCACACATTCACCAGGCAGCCTCTCTCCAATCAGAAGCGCTTTAAAGCTCAGACCGTAATATGTGCATGTGCAGACAAAGCATGCGTGCGTGAGTGTCAACTGTAGCTGATACCAGCTTGAGAATCAGACATGCACTCTGTTCTTCCCATTGGAAACACATGTGGAAGACACACAGAAAAAAATCTAGCATGTTCCAGTCCACCGTTAGCCATGTAGCTCAGTCATCAGTGACTGTGTGGTTTGTAGTCTTTCTAAAGGTGCAAGAACTCTGATAAATGCAGCTGAGTTTGTTTCAATGTTGTTGAATCATATTAATAATGTTTTTTGTGCTTGAACATGATCAAAAGAACCAGTGGACTCCTTTTGGTGCCTCTCAACCAGTTAAAATGCAGAAAGCAGGTAACCTAGCCTCCCTGTTCCCACCAACAAGCAACTGAAGTAGAAGCAGTAGCAAACTTCTTCAAGGCAAAACTAACAGATGAGTTGTATTATATTATCTAGGGCCCCTTTCTAATGCTGCCTTGGACAACTGCCCATAACACCCACATTAAAAGCCACCACTGAAAAAAACAAATGTATGATGGTGGCCCAGGATGTTCAATCAAATCCACCCTTTACAAGTAGCTTAAAATTCAGCTCACATAGATGAACTCTGAATGAACTGATGTTTGTGATTCACAACTCTTTTTTTTTTCCAACAGTGTGCCTCTATTCAGATCACTTTCCTTTGACACCCCTAAATAAAATCCAGTAAAGTTTTTTCTGTAAAGGACTGAACTGGACACTTTGTACCCAATCTGTTATTTAAAACTACTTTTTATGAAGTTGAGCATTTTTAGGGAGAGTCTAGTATTAGCGGGTTTTAGGTATTCCCGGGCAGCTCAAGAATATAGGCAGTATACCATATTTACTTTTTTTTAATTGATGGTTAAAGCTGCCCTTCCAGTAAGTCCTGTGTGTGTATTCCATTGAAAAAAAACTGGATCCACCATACATTTTATTGAACAGAATTCTAGCAGGAACGTTTGTGGTATTTTGAACAAATCTGCTGTCCACAAAAAGATACTTGTAGCTTCTAAAACAGCAGACCTGTATATTTTCTTTAGACATTGATTTTTTTTTAACTTTGGAAGAAAAAATATCTAAGATGGGTCACACCATGTCAGAGTTTACTGATTGCAAATACCAGACAAGGGTGTAGTATTTGTTTAAAACTGACCTAATCTGTTAGTTTTAGCTAACTCTAGGAGTCATTCTGCTGAGTGTACAGTGATGACAAAGCTCCTATAGGAAATCGTAGAAGTAAGCGGCTTTTGCTTTTGGGGGCTTTTATTTTTACCTCGAAATCTTGCACCTACTCGAAGTGCCAAATTTCCACCCTGCTTGGACGTTGGCACTCCGGCTGCTGGCCAGCTTGTGGTTAGCTTAACTCAGCCGCATGAACAGCTTGTGTTCAGCCACAAAAGGCTGAAGCAGACCCGTCCTCCTCCAGCCGCTTCTGTTGCCGTCTGAAGATTAGAGAAGCCACGGCGTTCACGTAGCTTCCCCGGCGCTTGGTTTTTTCTGCAGCAGCAGCTAATCAGCGGCTCTTCATTTTGGAGGAAGTAACGAGGAAGGCCAAGGCGTTTCTTTGAAAAGCAGCAGGTTGTGACAGTCTGTTTTGGCACTTTGTCAAAACTTTTCTTTCGTCACTTTCGAACGTTTGAGACCTAATAGGTGATGAAAAGCCAGCTCGGAGGAGAATATTTTATGAAGATTGAGGCACAGACCTTAGAGACGTCCAGCCATTAGCATGCGTGCTAGCCGGATTCTGTCCCAGGGGGAAACCCAAGTCTGGCCTCCACGTCCCAGTGGACGTCCTCTGTGGAGTTTAGCATATCCACGGTTTCAGCTGAACGGCTGAAAGCTGGCATGTGTGGGCTGCTGAGAGATCGGCTATTTGGAGCAGTGAATTTTAATGACGTTTGTCAACTCTAATATACGAAGCTGCCTGGCTGCGGACGAGATTGAAGTTTTCTCAGCTTGCTTTGGGTTTATTTAAAGGAAGTACTGCTTTTCAAGAAGACTACTGCGACTGATTTATTGTATAAACAGAAGTTAGAAATAAAAAGATAAAAAACAGAGAGCGAAGTCACACTTCCTAACAGGACGGGTAAGCCTCACATGAACCTAAATCAGCAGACGGACAAAGAAAACTCACTGATTAATACTTCATGTGAAACCTGAAAAAGGGACGCAACATGAACCTTTTCACTAAAGAAACTGCCTTCCTTTTCTTTCGCACACAAAATAGAAATATTACATACATGATCATATATATACATACATCCTCAATAATATTCAGATAAATGTCTCTTACTAAGTTGCAGAGAAATATTAGTTTAATTTAGCAACAAAAAGGCTTTAAATTGAGAATGTTGTTTTTTTCTCAATGTTTTTGATTAAAACGTGACTAATTGCAATTTACTCAATTAAAGCACTTTAATGTGTTTTAAAGTCACTTTCGAAAACGTTCGAAAGTGACGTTTTAAAGTCACTTTAAATAAATATATATATGACACGTTTATGCCTTGAAAATTTTGCACAAATTAAGATTTGAAGCATTAAAGTGTGACAACAAAGCAAAACCACTCCAAAATCTATTAGGATGTACATACATTTTCAAAGTTTATTAATTTACTACACCTTTTTAAAACTATACCTAATACAAAATACTGTTTAAAAATGGCAGCAGAAAAATGAAGCTACTTCAGATGCTGAAAAGCCTTCACAGATTTTGTTATGGCTCTAATAAATTTTGCCTTCCATGAGTATGTTTCCTACATTAGCAGGACTCTTTGGAAGCAAAGTCCTCTGGATTAGCTCAAATACTTTTTTTTTTTTTTTTTGAGCAGCATAACCTCTTTAACTGTACCGAAATCTGAGCACCAGTCTCATCAGAGCTGTTACAGATGGATTGTCATAAAGTTTGTGCTGTAAATGTTGGGGAAAATGGGAGCCAAAAGGGCATAACGTGAGGACTCAGATGTATTTTTTAAACCCTGTCTGATAGGTTTATAAGCTTCAATGGCAGACCAAACAGCTATTTTAGCCACAATAATTACCCGGTGCTTAGATATAAGGGTTCTTGCACCCGGTATTGATGCCAAAACAAGTAGACTAATCAGATTTAAGACGCAGTGCAAACAGTTTTCATCTCAAATTATTTATTCATACATACAGATTTTTTTTGTGTCATCGTACAAAAACAATGCAACAGCTGAATTACTGCTAAGTACCTCGGTCTCTGTTTTCATTGCAGGCATTTTTCATATTTGCACACTCTTCCTTGAACTGTTTTTTAATAAATGCATGTTTGCGAACCTGTGCAGCTGTTAGGCCTGAATGCATTCAACATCCATTATGAATGCATAACAATACCACACAAAAACACAAAGACACTTTCGGTTATCGCCGTAATGTAGCAGGAGAAGATCTAAAGTGCTGATGTGGAACGGAGACCATGGCAAATAGTTGAATTAAAAAAAAAAAAAAAACACTGAATGGAAAAATAAACACATTTTCAAAAGAAATAAAACCTGGTTGCCTCCTGTACCCCCTGAAAGTTCCATTTTACTAAAACTTTATGGAGAGACACTAACTCCGTTTACAACTTTGTCAACATTCTGCTAATAGCGAAACAGCACATTTTTGCAATTACAGTATTTTCAATAAATATGTGATTATCAGCTAAAATCACATGTGCATACATTTGTTCACATGATAAAAAACATCAATAAAAAACATGCCGCGCCTTCATCCTTGTCGTCTTCATGGTTTGGTAACATCCAAGTTTTGGAGCTCGTCCTACCTCCAAAACATTTTAGAAAAAAAAACCTTAATTTTCTTTAAACTGACGTGGTTCCAATAAGCAAATTTATTTTCGAAATATCAAAATGCGCCATTATATGGACAATGCAGCTAATGATTCAGTTTCAGCTTTTAGTGTTTGGTAGAAGTGTTAGCATGTCACATGCTGACATGGGTTTAGTTGACTGCTCTATAGTGTAATATATCAGTCCTCTGCACAGATCGTCAGCCATATTTGGCTCTGGTCTTTGGCTAGGCCATTCCAGAACTTTAATTTTCCTCTCATGAAGTCAGTTTTTCATTGATTTGGCTGTATGGTTGGCTCTCCAGACACTTCAGTAATATACTGTGGTCAGCAGTAATAAGGTGTAGCTCAGCACAACATGTAAAATATATGTATATGCTCACTCATCAATACATTTTTTGAAAAGTTTATTAAAAGATCAATCATCTAATTTCAGCAGGTACCAGAACTTTTTTTTTTCTTGCATTATGATCTTTGACATAAATAAACAGTAGGAAGTGAGTCCCACTTTTAACAGGAAGAAAGAAAACGGTTTTGAGAGCAGAAAACTTCAAGGGTGACTTCATTCGAATTAAACATAAACCAGTTTAAAAGTAATTGAACACAAACACAGACTTGAGGTATAAAATAAGGAAAGTGGGCAAAGAGGCATGTAACAAATTAATGTTAACAGTTATATTTTTCCTCCTGGTAGGTGAGATATTCCAT